CAAAGGAACAGGTGAGCCTAGATCCACCCATGGGGCTGTAGAAAGACATGCCCAGGCAGGAAGACACAAGTCACTGGATCCCGAGAAGAGCAGGGCAGTCTAGCAGCATAGGTTCCTGATGCCACATCACCCAGCAGGGGAGTTAACTCAGTCACGTGTGAGGTTGGTCTCCCACACTAAATTATTGATTGTATTATTTAGTTCTATAGTTTCCTTATTTAGTTTTTGTTTGGAAGATCTGTCCAGTAGTAAGAGACATGTGATAAAGCCACCCAGTATTATTGTATTGTGGCCTATTTGACTCTTGAAATTGAGAAGGGTTTATTTGATGTACATAGATGCTCCATTGTTTGGGACATAAATATTTATAATTGTTACGTCCTGCTTATATATACTTCCCTTAAGAAGTAAGTATGAAATGTCCTTATTTGTCTCTTCTGATTAATTTTGGTTTGAAATCTACTTTATCTGAAATGAGAATGGAAACCCCTGCTTGTTTACACAATCCATATGTGTGATAAGTTTCTTCCCATCCTTTCACCTTCAACCTGTGGATGTCTTTGCCCATGAGGTGAATCTCTTGAAGACAGCATATTGTTGGGTCTTGCTTTTTAATCCAATCTGCCAGTCTGTGTCTTTTGATTGATGAATTTAGGCTGTTAACATTTAAGATTATTATTGAGATATGATTTGTATGCCCTATCATTTTGATTTACTTCTGATTTTTGATTTGTCTTAATTTCTCATTTGGTTGAATGTCCCTTTAGTGTAAATCCTCCCTTTGCTGGTTTTTACTTTTTTTTTTTCACTTCATCCTCATGGATCATTTTGTGAGGCTTTCTAGTTGCGAATTCTTTTAATTTTTGTTTATCATGGAATGTTTTAATTTCATCTTCAAATCTGAAACTTAATTTTGCTGCATATAAAATTCCTGGTTGATTGGGCTGGAGCTGTAGCTCAGTGGTAGAGCACTTGCCTCACAGGTGTGAGGCCCTGGGTTTGATCCTCAGCACCACATAAAAGCAAATTAATTAATTAATTAAATTCCTGGTTGGCATTCATTTTCTTTCTGAGCTTGAACTATATTATCCCAGGACCTTCTAGCTTTGAGGATCTGGGTTAAGAAATCAGTTGATATCTGAATTGGTTCCCCCCTATACTTAATTTGATTTTTTTTCTCTTACAGCCTTTAAGATTTTATCTTTATTGTCTGTGTTAGTCATTCTCATTATAATGTGTCTTGGTATGGGTCTGCTGTAATTTTGTACATTTGGGGTCCTGTAAGCCTCTTGTATTTGATTTTCCATTCCATTCTTTAGGTTTGGGGAATTTTCTGCTATTATATCATTGAAAAGATTGTGCATTCCTTTGGTTTGTAACTCTGCTCCTTCACCTATTCTGATAACTCTTAAATTTGGTTTTTTCATGTTATCCCATAATTCTTGGATGTTCTGTTCATGGTTTCTTACCATCTTCTCCACATGCTCAACTCTACTTTCAAGATTATATATTTTCTCTTCATTGTCTGAGGTTCTGTCTTCCAAGTGGTCTAGTCTGTTGGTGATGCTTTCTATCGAATTTATAATTTGGTTTACTGATTCCTTCATTTCGAGGATTTCTGTTTGTTTGTTTGTTTGTTTGTTTCATGACCTCTAACTCTTTATTGAAGTGTTCTTTCACTTCCTGTATTTTTTCTTTGATTTCACTTCTTATAGTATCCTTTACTTCACATATCAATTTAACTATATACAATCCGAACTCCTTCTTGGACATTTCATCTACTGTGATATCAGTGGCTTCTGATGTTGAAGCATTTCGGGTTTTTTGGTGCACTTTAATTCCCTGATTTTTTTAATATTTATTTTTTTAGTTGTAGTTGGACACAATACCTTTTATTTTATTTATTTATTTTTATGTGGTGCTGAGGATCGAACCCAGGGCCTCGTGTGTGCTAGGCAAGCACTCTACCAATGAGCCACAATCCCAGCCCTATTCCTTGTTTTTCCATGTTGTTAGTGTGTTTTCCCATCTAAAATTATGGATCGAAGGTAGGATAAATTCTACCCTATATACCTATAGTGTCCCTGAAGGTTTCCAGCGCTTCGCCTTTACTGGTAAGACCAATATCAATAGCACCCAGTATATACAATATATAGACTTAAACCTAATAGCTCCCACTAAGGTGTCTACTGCTTTCTCACATTAAACCAGAAAGATGAGTTCAATAACTGTCTATAGTATAAACAGAATATTTATTAAAATAACTTACAATTTTAAATGGTGGATGAGAGAACAGAGGTAGTGTAGTATGCAATATTTGCAAGGGAGGAAGAGAGAAGCTAGAAGTAAAAATTCACAGGAAGAGTGGAAGAGGAGCCAACAGAGATTGGCTGTTGGTTGGAGAAAAGATGGAAAGAAAATAGACAAGAGGAAGAATATGAACAAAGAGAAAAAAATTAAAGACATAAGAATACAACAAAAATGCAAAACACCATTCATAGATCATTATCCTCCACAGACTGATGCATAAAAAGCATCCTGTTCCAAATATGGTAGAGAGATTAGTGAATCAAAAAATAAAATAAAATAAATCTTGCTGGAAAGTCGAACTGTCTCTGTCAGTGTTCAACAGTTTCTCAGCTCTGTCTCTGATCCCACGGATCTGGGCTTCAGATACCTCAGGCTCAGCAATGCTGCAGTCCAAGATCTCAATGCTGCTCCTACTTGCAGAGAGACCACCAGGGATACACTCATGCAAAGGAGTAACCCCGAGATGTAGCAGCAAGACAAGGGCCACCAGCACTCTCAGCAGGAAAACCCCAGGCTCCTCCAAACCTGCAGAAACCCCGACACTGGACCTGCAGGTCCCAGCTGGAGTCCCCAGACAGAGGCTCTTGTGGTGGTAAACCTGCTGGCACCCAGGCCCCAGGCCTGAGTTGTGTTCTCACTGGTTACCATGTACTTCTTAATTTATGAGAATCTACTTCGTGTTTAAACAAACAATTCCATGAGAATGAAGTTACTCTATTCTTTCTTCCCCATCTCGTGCTATTATTATGCACTAAAGAGCTTCCTACCTACCTCCTTACAGTTAGTGGGGAGACCCGAGAGGCCTGGCTCAGTCAGGCTGAGGTGACTGAGGGTGGCTGGCTCAGTGACTGAGGGTGAGTAAGTCATTCAACATCTTTGAGCCTCAGTGTCCTCACCTGTAAGTGGGAAGAATTGGATAAATAGCTCCAAAGATGGATTGAGGTCTTAGCACTGAGCCTGTGTATGGTAAAGGCTCTGAAAGCTGGCCTCTGCTTGGCCCTCAAAGAACCCCAGGAATCAACTTAACCGGCATTCTCCTGTCAGAGCACGATGCAACCGGCATCCAGCCAAATCCTGGGGCACGTGCCCCAAACTTGGGTCTCACACAGGGATAACCTGCTGGCTCAGCCCCTCCCAATTCAGGTCAGTAGGCTGCAGAAGCCACCAGAATGGCCCATAACTGCCCCCAAGGCACGTTCCTAGCCCCAGCAAAGATGCTGTACCTGCTGCAGGCAAGGCTTTGAGGAAAGTGCTGGGAAGGGATGGGAAGGGAGCAGCAATCACAGCTGAATGTCCAACCTCTGCTCGGCAGATGCACAAACCCTCAGCTGAGATAAAAAGCCCTTCTACAGCTACCAAGGCAAGTCACCACCGAACTCTACTTATTAGCATCCAAGACAGAGGCCTGCCATCACCCCACCCAGGCTCATCTAGAGTCACTCATGCATGCAGTGGGCACTTCTGCTGTGCCCAGCCAGATGCTGAGCTTGAGGACACAGAGGGATCCAATGTGAGGTCTGGAAACCACGCATGATTCTGTGTAGCACATGCCCATGATCCTAGGCAACAGGGGCTCTGACTTGGGCTCTGGGAGGACAGGCAAGGGGACCTCTGAGAACAGGGCCCAGGAATAGTCTGTCCTCCCCCAAGCTTGCTCCTGCCCCTGAGGTCAATCAGTATCCAAAGCCAGAGACTTGGCTGGCAGCCTTAGTTAGGGTTCCATGCAGGGCAGGGGATGGTGGAGAGGAGTAAGCGCTGGACCCTGAAGTCCATTGGCTGTGCCATGGAGTAACTGGGTAGCTGTGAGCTGGTCTGTTCACCCACACCCAGCCTCAGTCCACCCATCTGCGAAACAGGAGAAGCGAGTTGGAGGGAATTCCATGATACTCACTAACAAGATGTAGCTGTCTCTGAGCAATGCAGCTGGTGCTGTGGCTACTCCTGCTGATTCTGACCCCTTCCAGCACTCCAGCCCTTAAGATCCCATGATCTAATCTCTGTGGAAGGACAGTCACTGCCATTCTCAGGAGCTTCCTTTTGCAATGCTCTCAGGGACCCAGGGTTTGGCTGGATGCCAGTTGCACCACCCCCTGTCTTCCCTGAACTCACCTGCTCTCACTCCAAGATCACCTCCTCTGAGAAGCCTTCCTGGTCTAAGCCACCCCCTGACATACCTGGGTCATTGCAGCCCACAGTCCCAGGCCTCCTGAGGCCAGCCAAGTCCATCCTGATAATACGGCCACCTTGTGTATCTACTGCCCCTTCCCAAGACCTGGATAAAGTTTTGTTGAACCTTCCATCTCATATCTTGGTGAAGTACAGACCTTTCCCATTGCTGAGAGTCATGGGTTCGAGCCTTAGCTCTGACACTAAGTTCCTGTGTGCCCTCGGACAAGTCCCCTTGCCCTCTCTGTGTTTCCCTTTTCCTGTCTGAAAAGTTGAACGCTGGGGACAGAGGCTTCAGAGGAGAGGAAGAGCAATCAGCCCCCCACTTACTACCAGAAGCCCCTGCAGACAGTGGGGTGAGGCACTGTTTCCCTGCTCCCTAGCAGAAGCCGCCAGGATAGAACCCATGGGGTGGACCCCAGACTATCTTCCATTGATTTAGGAATCCATAGCTCCCAGGGCTGCAGGGTGAAGGAGGAAGGTGTGGCGGGCCTGTGCTCAGTGTGCTTTCTCTCTGTCCACAGTAGCACGATACAACCGCACCAGCTACTTCTACCCCACGTTCTCGGAGAGCTCGGAGCACAGCCACCTGCTCGTGTCTCCTGTGCTGGTGGCGAGCGCTGTCATCGGGGTGGTCATCATCCTCTCCTGCATCACCATCATCGTGGGCAGCATCCGTAGGGACCGACAGAACCGGCTCCAGCGTCACCGCCACCGTCACCACCGCCACCATCACCACCATCGCCGCCGACACCGCCACCGTCACCGAGAGTACGAGCCTGGCTACGGTGAGCTACTGCCCACCCTGGGCCCTGCAGCCACCAGCATATTTGTGATTGAACCCAGGAGGCGTCCAGGAGGCCATGGCTCCGCCAGGCGTGGTGTGGAGTGGTCAGGGAAGGCCTCCTAGAGGTCTTGGTCCATCAGGAAGAGCTCGCAGGTGCCACCATCGTGTTCCCTTTAGCATGGGAAACCCAGAGGGAGGCCGAATGGATCCCTCTAATGGAGAGAGAGATGGGGGCTGCTTGGGGGAACAGATTGGCAGGAGCATGAATGGGTGATGGATTGAGTGAATGGTTCAGCCTTAGGGTGAGGGGATGGATGGACAAGTGGGTGGATGGATGGGTCGATGAACGGGATGCTTCAGTGGGTTAGATGGGATGGGCAGGTGGAGGATGGAAAGCTGGGGGTGGTGGAGGGGAGAGGGGAGTAGGTATGGGAATGAGTGGATGGGTCAATAGATAAATTCTCAGACAATTTCCATTGGCAGGAAAAAGCCAGACCTCCCTGCACAAGAGCTGCACGGGGGTCTATCTGCTATCTGAGGTCACCCACCAGGTGGGGAAAAGCAAAGCAGGCCCAGACCCTGAAATGCAGAACTGACGTGAGCCTCCTGGGAGCCCAGAGCCATAACAGGACCTAAGGGGCTTTCCCCTTCCAGGGGCTGGCAAAAGAACAAAGGGAAATGTTTTTTGGTTTTTTTTTTTTTTTTTTTTTTTTTTTTTTGCAGTCCTGGGGATTGAACCCAGAGCCTTACACATGCTAGGCAAGCACTCTACCACAGAGCTACATATCCAGCCCTTTATATTTTTATAGGGTCTTTCTAAGTTGCCCAGGCTGACCTTGAACTTGTGATCCTCTTGCCTCAGCCTCCTGGGTAGCTGGGGTTAGAGGCCTGCTCTACCACACCTTGCTAGAAAAGTTTTTTAAACAGATTGAATCTGATGAACCTGGGCCTTTGCAGCCCTCCCCAGCACACCCTGCTGATCTGGTAGGAATGAGATATTTCTGTTTTCTTTCCACTGAGTTAATTGGCTGTAGAAGGAGCCTCCTTTAGCAATAAGAGATGCCGGAAGCCAGCAAGCAGAGGGAGGCCTGGAAGCGCTGGCCGATGGGCCAGGAGCCCTCCCTGTGTCCTGGCACTTCTTATGCATAATCTCATTGTGCAAATTTCTCACAGTGGTCCTGGGGTGGCTTTTAATTGTCACCCCAATTTACAGATTAGGAGCAGTTAAGTAATGGGCCTGGAATCACCCAGTCTGCAAGTGATGGATCCAGAACTTGAGCCCAGGCACTCTGACCTGAAAGTCCTTGGGCCGACCACTGCGCAGAGAGCCTGGGAGGCCGGGCAGTCTCAGCCCTGAGGGGAGTTGGCACTGGGGGAGATGCCAGTGGAGCCACCCTGGGAACACATGCGGGTCCAGCAGACACTCCTGCAGCCAGGAAACCTGCAGACCTGGCTGTTGCTCTTCTGGGAGGACAAAAGCAAGGGACCAGACCTCAGGCAAGACCCACAGGGCTATCATGTGTCAGGGGCAAAAGTGGCCACAAGGGAAGAAAGACAGCTGATTAGCAGGCTGCCCTCCGTAACCAGGAATGAGGACGGAAGAGGCCAGCGTGCATGCATGTGTGAGACTCAGCCAGCCCAGCACCCCCAAGTCCCTAGGAGCCAAGGATGCCCAAGAAGACAAGTCAGAGCATTGCCTAGACGAGGATGGGCCTGTCCCACTCTGGCATCAACAGCCTGGCACTAACCCTGGGGAGGAGGCAGGGCTCCTCCCTCAAGCCCAGGTACCACCTTCAACCACTCCACACCCCAGGATGGAGCCTGGCAGACGCAGGGCAGCCCACCTGCCTCTCCCCTTCAGTACCCGCTGCTCCTCTCCAAGCACAGACCCACTCCTTCCAGACTCTGCCCTCTGCTGACTGCCGTTCCCCAGCCTCTCCAACTGGCCAAAGCCTTTTAGGCCCAGCTCAAATGCCACCTCCCTGTGGAAGCATCTCCAGCCCCCCTGGCCCCTACCAGAATCAAATGGAAATCCCTCTTCTCTGTGCTTCCTTGGCATTGTACCCACACCTCCATCAGTGCCTTGGTCATGGGGTGACTATGTGGCATTCATGACAGCAGGGCCTGCATGTGGCTCCCCCCCCACCCAGGTCTGGGACCTGGCACTGGGCCCAACCCAGAAGTTCACCATGGGCAAGGGAAGAAGCCACCTCGCTTCATCCTCACAGCAAGACCTTGGAGCGCAGGCCAGGGGTCTCCCTGAGATTCCAACAGAGAGGGCTGAACGGTCAGCCTGGCCCTTGAGAACCTGAAGGCAGGCCAGACCCTCCTGAGCAAGGTCCCGGCTCTGAGCCCCAGAGCAGGCAGAGTGAATGGAGGCCACAGGCACACCAGTTCCAGGGCCAGGCCTTGCTAGCCCTCGCTGACCTACAGCAGCCCCCTGTGGAGCTCCTGCCTCCCTGCCCCACTTCTGTTATCTGGCTCTGGCACCTCCCTGGGGCCTGGGCAGGGAGTCCAGGGGCACTGCTGTCCCACACCTTCCTCCAGCCTTCTGGAGAATACGCAGGGGCTGCTGAGAGCCTCCGGAGGACACCAGGGATGAGGGAATACGCTCTGTGACATCAGACAGCCCCCACCTTCCACAGTGGAGGTCTCCCATCTTTCAGACACTTCCCCCCTGCTCTGGGGACCAAAACCCTCCGGGTCAGTCCCCTGCCCCTTTGGCCGCTATTTCTGGGACTTCTTTGTGGATTTCTTTCTCCTGCCCCTTACATGTCAGAGCTCAACACTTTCCCCTGTCCTCTCCCTACACCCACTAGCTGCTTCATCTCATCTACCTACCCATCTTCTTCCGTGCAGCTGCCTCCACCCCTCCCCCAAGGTCCCTAGACACCCCTCCATGGGGACTCACAAGCACCAGATTCAGTATCCAAATCACCTTCCACTTTTTTTGCATTTACTGTGCACCCGGGTAAAAGTTGTCTCACCTCTCTGTGTCTATAAAATGCTTACACAGGGACCCAGCCCAAAAAGTGATTGTAAAGACTATATAAGAAGAGCACTGGCTAATAATTCCATGCTCCATACAGTTAACTATTTTCATTATTTCTCCTTCCAAGAAAACCTGCTCACAGACCACCTGCCCTCACCGGCCCACCCACCAGCCTGACCTCCCAGGCACCCAAAGGGATTGGACATGATCACAACCATCCTCTGCTCAGCACCACTCAGTGGCTCCCCATGGTCCTCAGGACAGTGTCTGCCTTCTGCTGCCCACAGGGCCTTTCTGTCGTCTGGCCAGACAGAGAGGAGCCAACCAATGAGGGGGAGGGAGAAGAAGAGATTGTGTTTCATAAGATGGAAAGATCTAGAGCATTAGTGGTGGCTGCCTCTGTCTCCTCTGGCTTCACCTCTCAGTCTTTGCCTCTGATAGAAAGTGTGGGAGTTTGTGGGTGCAAGTTCTCCTCCTTCCCCCTCCTGGAGCCTGTCGAGGGAGGGTAACCCTGGATTGGGTTAAATAATGAATTTCTTAATTTTGGTAAAGAGGAGGCATAGAAAGATTTCACCTTCCGTGAGGCAGAAAGCGGGGCTCCCGAGGCCTGACCCATCTGTACCCTAACCTGGAATCAGGAGAGGCAGAGGATAAGGAAGGCCTGAGGCCATTCCTTTATGGTGGGGAAACAGTGGACTGGTTTCTCCCCAGCTCTTCCTCGGGAGCTCTGCCCAGCCGAACGTCTGGGATTGAACTTGGTCGCCTGTGGACTGAGGTCTGAGCTGGGAGAGGAGCTCAGGGCAGCCTCAGTTTCCCCAAGATGCTCAGCTTCTGAGAGGACCAAGAGAAAGCAGGCCAGGAAGAGGGGATCAGCAGCAGTTTTCCTGGGCCCTACTGGCTGTCAGGGCTGCCCACCTTGTCTAGGAAACAGCCCCGGCTCTCTCGGGTCGGCTGCAGCCTCGTCCCCTGTGGGTGGAACCTCCCCTGAACCCAAGACCTTTCCCAGCAACGTGGCGCTGGTGGACGCAGGGTCTCTGGAGGCCAGCCGTCCTGGTTCAGGGTCTGTCCTCGCCCAGTTGTCTTGTGCTTTGATCTTTCCTGGATTTCTTCCTGAACTCCTTCCAAAACTTCCGTCTTTCAGCTGCTCCCCTGAAGGGAAACTCATCTCATTTTAGCTCCCTTTTTTTTTTTTTAACAGCATATGATATTGGGCTCATTTTTCCTAGCACAAAAGTCATATGTGTTCATAATAGAAAGCCTTAAAAATACAGACGATATAAAGAAGAAACTAAGGGTCATGATCCTACCATCGGGACAGAGCCACAGATAATGAACACGTACAGAATGTTGGCCTCGGAGAGCTTTCTCCACACCCATAAATAATCCTGGAATTAGACCTGCAGATGTGGTTTCACATCAAGGTCTTTCCACTCCTGTTAAATCGGGAGTGGGGAAAGGAGATGAGGGGAGTGGGAAGAAGTCTCTGGGTGGCACAGGCCGTATGGATTCCAACTCCCTACTTTATTGGAATGTGACCCTGAGCCTTAGCTTCCTGGTCTGTACAGTGGGCACAATGCCAAGCCCCACCCCTTGAGGGAGTCTCCAGGAGCCCTTGGGGGTGGGTAGACTGCATGTCTCAGCCATCTTGGCAGCTTCCGTGACTAGATCTGCCAGAAACTTCTATGATGAGAAGCTAAGACATCCAGCTGCCCTCTGACCCTACCATTCTCTGTGTGACCTCAAGCAAGTCACCTGGCCTCTCTGAATCTCAGCTGCAGAATGAGAGACTGATGCTCCAGCTGTGTTCATTAAGCAGTATGATAGGTCCAAGAAAATGACATTCTGTGGTCAAATGCTGGACTAGCGCAGTTAGCTGTGCGTCTTAGCTGCAGGACTTTTCAGGGCTAATGTGTGGTTTCGAAAAAACAAAAGAAAACAAAGTACGTGAAGTCACCTGATCCATTACACTCCCTTCCCCGGGCACCTAAGGGAGTGACGCATGGTTGCGGCAGGAAAGGCTAAGGAGATCCCAGAGGCCTCTGCAGCCCTCATTCCTGGACCCTCTCCCCCACATTTTTCATGCCCCAGCCTGACCCCACTACCCACAACCCCTGGTCACACCACTCCCTTTCTCATCCACCTCTTGCCTCAGCTGTTCAGGCTCCCGGCTTCCGGCCTGCCCTCTTCCCCAGGCTAATCCTCCAGGCAGCCCTTCCTCCAGGAAGCCCACCCCAGCCTCCCAGTTGGTCAGGCCTGTCTCTTCTCCCACAGCCCCTGGACTGCCAAAGCTCATGACACACTGCCCAGTTCTCAGCTGTCTCCAGGACAGGGCCAGGACAGGGTGGGCTCTGCTTCCTCCTCCCTGTGACCCCATGTCCAGCACAGAGATGGCACTCACATGCCTGTGCTGTTGCTGAGTGGTTGGAGGTAGCTGCACTGGTGAGAGGATGGTCAGATGGAGACAGCAGAGCCTCATTGGCCTCAGGTAGACTCAGGAGGCCAGTCCTTGGCACTGGCCCAAGGCTCAGGCTGCTGGTCTGTTCCCTGCAGCATCCGACGGACACACGTACAGCCGTTCAAGCCGCAGGATGCGGTCCACCTGCAGCCCTGCAGAGGACTGGCCCCCGCCCTTGGACATCAGCTCTGATGGAGACGTGGATGCCACGGTGCTCAGGGAGCTGTACCCAGATTCTCCGCCAGGGTAAGGAAGCCACATGGGGGAGGGGCCCGTGAAAGGGTAGAGCTCTGGACACCAAGGGAAACAGCAACCCCTCTGCATGTTTCACAAACGCAGCAAACATCTCAGTGAGCATGGCCATCTCCCTACCCCTCCTGACCAAGTAGTCCCCTTGAGGCAGGGTGTGACTCAGCAGATGTCACCAGGACGCACCAAGAAAAAGACAAGCGGAGCTTCTTCCAGACTGATGAGCAGGGATAAAGAAGGGGTGCCCTTGGTTTAGGGAATAACAGCTACCCTGAGCCCATTGGGGGTCTGCTCCTCCAAGTGTCTCCCTGGGGAGTTAGATCAGTAGAGTATTAAGTTATTCCAGGGGCTGCGGGATCAATTTCCTGTTAGGGAGAAAAATCTATTCAGCTTCAATATCTAACACCAAGAACTCATCCCATCCCAAGGCCAGCCTACCTCAGGGGCTGCAGGCTCAGCCAGCCCCTGGCCTGGCAGGTCTTGGTATGTGTGTGTGGTCAATCCCGTCTTCCCAGTCATGTCCCTCCTCTTTCCCACCCTACCCCCCACTCCTGCCCAGCTCTGTCCAGGCACTAACCCAACCAGCCTGGCAGGCAGAGGCACTCAGCCTGGTGCCCCTTTTGCCTGAGATAAACCCAATGCGCAGGGAGCACTCCACCTTTCCCGGATCCCAGAGAAGTTCCCTGTGCCGCGCCACATCAATCAGAAGCAGCTCCACTTGGCCTGTCCTTCAGACAAGCCACGCTGGACAGAGGTGGTGTCCTCAGGGCCCAGCTGGCCCTTTCCCACATGGACCAGAGCCACTGAGCTCCCTGGGGGAAGGAGGTATGCACATCCTTGGGCATAGCCTCTGGATCAGTAGGACTCCTAACCCTGGGTCACACCCCCAGGTATCCACCATATCTTCTTCCCACCAGGAAAACCCAGTAAGTAGGGTTTATTCACCCCCTTTCTACAGACAAGGAAATGGGCCCTGGAGCCTGGGGGAGAATGTTATGTCCATTGCGCCTGAGGACCCCCAGAGAAAGTAGCAGTGAGAAAAGAGGTGGCTGGACAGGGGTTTGCTGGACATTGAGTCTCTGCTCTTAACATGGGCGCTCCAGGCTCTAGCTCCTTAGTATGATCCACCAAAGCCTGAATCACATCTATCAGGACAAGAGTCATTGTGTCCAGCCTGCACTCAGGGCGATCAGGCCTGTCCAGGGGAGTTCTTCCCTAGGGGCATTTGGGTCCTCTTCTCCCAGCCACCCATAGGCAGACCCCCCAGCAGTTAGCACATGAAGAGGGGAGAGGAGTCACAGCCTCCCTCAGTTCCCTACCTGGGGACCGTCAGGCCCTGGACAGCCTCGTGCTCCCTCCCCTCCTGCTCCCCCCACTCCTGCTCCCCCGGGCACTGGGAGGGACAATTGGTGCTGTTTTCCTTGCACTCCTAAGCTCAGAGGGGCCCCGGGACTCCTTCCTAAAGCTAGAAGACAGCTGAGGAATGACTTGAGCTGCTTCTACCCACAGAGATGGCCCAGCCTGGAAAGTCTCCCAGGCAGCTCTTGTTCTAAGGAATCTGAGCCCCAGAGAAGTGAGTTCACAAAGAACAGGAGGAGGCCTGATTCAAGTTCAAAGCCCAGGTCTCAGGGGTGCAGAGGTCCCCTTTCTTAGTAGGGTCTCACTGGAGCCAGCATGGATGAGGCCCAACCTGGTCCACAGCCATCACTTCAGATAAGAAAGACACCCCCACACCCACTCCCAAGACCCCAGGTTTAGCAGAGCCTGAGGGAGCCTCTTCTTTTGTAGTTATGAGGAATGTGTGGGGCCAGGGGCCACTCAACTGTATGTCCCCACGGACGCCCCGCCGCCCTACTCGCTGACCGACTCCTGTCCCATGCTGAACGGCACCCTCCACTCAGGCAGCAGCCACAGCCCCCATGGACACCAGCAGGAGCAGAGGACCCGGGGCCAGAGTGGCCTCCGCACCATCTCCATGGACATGCTGCCCCCTTATGAGGCCGTGTGTGGACCTGGCTCCCCATCTGGCCTGCTGCCATTGCCTGGACCGGAACCAGGGCCAAGGACCTCACAGGGCTCACCCACCCCAACCCGAGCCCCAGCCTCTGGTCCCGAGAGGATTGTTTAAGTGACACAGCCCACCAGCTCCAACAGGTCCCTCCAGGCTGAGTCACATCCTTGTGGCATACATAGGCACTCACACACACACACACACACACACACACACACCCCAGTATGCACACACAACACATAGATATATACGTGGCTATACACATACACACTGACATACCCCATGTGCACATACAGACATGCCCCACACGTGTGTGGACATGTGTGCACACACAGGGGACCCCCCACACCCACACAAAACCTACCGGCAGAGGTTTCATTAAAAATGAATGAAGCTCTCTGACCTCCTGTCTCCTCTTCCCCAGCCTGGTGGTTATGCTGCTGTGGATGGTGCTGGGGGAGAGAGTCGAAGTAGGAAACTGGCTTTCTCTTCCCTCTCCCCAGGCTGTGCCCAAATTGGTTCTGCCTCCAGAAACTGCTCAACCACCCCAGGGCAGCTGCCTGCCCGACCCCTCCCCCAGGGCTTGTTCTCGTGGGAGGTGGGGCAGGCCCCAGTGAGGTTCTGCTGTGTGCTGTGCCTATCTTTCAATTCCAGGGCAGAAGAGCCACATCACCATCCTGCCGCTTACAAGGTGGGGACACAGGTCTGGGGGCTCAGGCACAACCTAGAGGCCCTCACAGCCCACTAGGCACCTCCCTTAATCCAGTACCCTCAGTCTGGTGGTGCTAGGGGAATTCTCTGAGAAGCCCACCCCAAGCTACAGAGGTGGACAGTGCCCTTGGTAAGTGTGCAGTGGTGCAGGTGGGTCACAGTAGTTCCCATGTCAGTCGGACCACTGCCCAGGGCTGAGGGTCTTCAAAGAAGTCCAGGTGGCCTCACCACAATATTGCCTGGGCACCACTATGAGGCAGATAAGGGCCCCTCATTTAGCATGTGCCCAGCCAGCCACTGTGGCCTGAGCCCAGATGGGCTGGAGCTGAACCCCACCCAGGAGCCGGTGCTGTCGTCCGGGGTGGCAGCTCACAGCTGGGAGCATTAACATATCCTGGCCTTGCCTCTCCAGGGTGTTTGCACATACAGAATAAAGAGGGTATGAGCCCCTTCAAAACCACCATGCCATCATAAGAGGACCAGTGCCCAGCCTTGCTGCCAGGGTCCTGCCATAGAAGGAGATACATGGGGTCAGCCTCATTGTAGAAAGGCTCAGATCTTGGCCTTTGAACCCCAGCAAGAACATGTCCATAACCTAGGTGATTTCTGAAGACCCAGCCTGCCGAGGTCTTCAAGCATCTTTGAGGAGTATCCCTGCCAACATCGCCAATGGCCGGGAACAAGTTACCCTGCCTCCCTCCTTCCCACCCTTTTTCTGCCCATCCTTAACAGCAAACCCCGCCCCCAGCCCTCCTTCTCCCCACATTTCAATTCCTCCAATGAAGGGCTAAGACAATTCAGTAATCCCTTTCTTCAGGAGAGGGGTGGCAAAGATGGCAATCTTGAATTTTATTTTCTGTAGAAATAGCATTTCTTCTGGTGCAGAGCTGAAAGGAGTCCACCCAGAGGTATTGTCGCGTCCTGTGTGTCGCACCCTGGAGCCCCCAGACTCCACCTGGGGGAAGGACCTTGTTTACAAGCAGTTCTGTCCAACTTTGTGGTGTACTGTTTTCTAGGCAAAAATATCTGTCTGTTGTACTGTATAGCCTTCAGAATGCACCCAGGGATGAGACCCTTTTAAGAAATGCATCCTGAATCTGTATCCCTAGAGAGTGCTGGGGGAAGATCAGAATCCCTGCCTGCTCCTCAGTGTTTGAGGATGGAGCTGAACAGCTTTTCTTGTTCCTGTGGACTAGGCGCTGAACAAGCAACAATGTATCTTTTCTGTGTTCAAATAAATACATCATATCAATAAAAATGTAGCAAAAAATGACATTTTCCAAGAATACATGGGTTGGGGTGGGGGGGCTCTTGCTGCTGAAACTGGAAAGGAAAGGAAACCTCAAACAACCACAATCTGAAAATACGCCTTCACCTGGATGGCATATCCTGTTCCTTCTCAGGATTAGGAGTCATTGAAGCCTTGTCACTTGCTGTGAGGTAGGTATTTGGGTAGTCAGTGATTTCCAGGAGATCCTTTTATGTGTTTAACCTCCCTGAAACATGGCATTGTCTTGGTGTAAATGTCTCTAGGATTGGCTATCAACCAGGGCCCAGTGGTCAGGAAGGTGACTCTGAGATAAGGAAGCACAGGCTCCTTCCATTTCCCCAGTCCAGTCTCCAGTCCCAGTTGGAGGGGCTGAGGTCAGCTGTCCAGCACCCACTGCCCACACTCTGAGCCCACACTGCCACCTGCTGGCTCGCTGCTGCCACTGTTAAAGTGAACAAGTCTGCCCTTCAAGAATGAGGACACTCCAGTCTCCCACTTTGAAAGCCATTGCCCACAGACACACGTAATTGTAGATGAAACTTGTCATTTTGATCCTGGGCTTATCTTCCACTCTTGGGATGTGCCATGAGGTCGAACCCATTCAAGCCTTCCATTTTCAGGACGAAACCCTATCTGCTAGCCTCTCTTTCCCACCCCCCCCCTCCATATTTTTTAGTGGTGCATTATAATGGTACATACATAACAGTGGGATTTGTTGTTACATATTCATATATGCACACAATTTAGCTAATACCATTCCTCCAGAGTTTCCTCTTCATGGTAATGGTGTCCAGTCACATGCTGATATCAACTTGAACCCCACACACCAACACTCATTCTGAACATGGGATCCATGGGTTCTTGTGACTGTTGGGCTCTTGGTTCTTCCCATCTCCTCCATCCAGGTATGTCCATAAATGGCAGCATGTTCAAGTTCCTTTGCACATTCTTACAAGGAAGCTGACCTTTTTGCCAGGGGCCTAAGGGATAGGGACCAAGGAGAACACCCTCAGTACCTGGGCTTAGCATGACCCCATCAGGGTCCCAAAGAAACAGGAGGTGAAGCTGTATCAACAAGAGGGAGCAAGACCAGACCCTCGTCAACATATGGATCTGAGGGGCTGATTGGAGAGGTGATCCCAGGAGAAGCAGACAGATGGGACAGGGAAACAAGGAGGGGGAGAAGGTCAGTGAGGATGTTGTAAAGCAGGTTCTTTTGCAAACTCCTGAGTTCTGTCCAATATGGCAACTCTGAGAGGCAGAATGAATCACACCTCCCAGTCAGCCTTCCCAAGGGGTGAGGGAGATGAATTATTCATACACCAGCTCTCAGCAGGCATTGTTTGGTGGCTGCTCTTTGGGGGATTTTGATTCCTGCCCCTTGTGTAGGCCAAGCGAGTTCCTCTGGTCAAAGAAACTCTTCAGATAGAGGAGTTGAAACTGGTGGCCAAAGAAGCCATCATGCTGGGCGGCATAAGCTGCCACTGAGTCAGCATGCGTGGGCACAGTGAGTTCCTGGGTCTCTGGACTGGGCACCAACTGCATCTGCCACATCTAAGGAACAGACATCAACCAAGAGAGGGAGGAAGGAGTTGATACAAAGTGTGGCTGTCCAAAGCCACAGGGGGACACACCTACTGTCACCAGCCATGCCTGCATGCACATGCAAACCAAGTTCTGAGACATGCTCGGGCATACCCACTTACATGGAACTGTCACAGCTCCGCTACTTGGGGTTTTATACACATCTGCTCAGATAGTTTTGGTGCCCACCCTAGTGCCCTCATGGGGGTTCCAATGCACACTCAGGTATCGCACACTCCAATGCTACCATCCTCACATTTAGGAGTTCCCATTCATGTCCACCTGCATGGTTGACCAGAGTCTGGGCATGAACAGTGCAAGGATAGGCAGTTTCATTAGGGCAGCAAATCTTCTGTTCTGGGCTGGGGTCTGCTCTGCTTGACTTCACATCGGACTCCCCTGAACCCAATTGAGTACTCAGGAGCCTAGAATTACTATCTCTGTGTTTGGGGGTGGGTGTGCCTCTGCCCCCTAAGTTACTGGGCCTGCCCAGCTTGTCTCCCAGGACTGCAGCTCTCCAGGCATATTGTCACAGCCTCAGCTATATTACAGCTGACCATCCTCACCAGTGTGACTCTGGGGTACCCAGGGTTCCTGTGGCACATGGTCCACCACCAGGGTTGAGTAAAGAATCATCCCTTGACAAGCTGTGAGCCTCATCACCCTCCCCCATTGCTCAGTTTCAATTTGAAACTTCTTAAGCAAGAAAAGATACTTACTTGGTGTAACTTAATGGTCCAAGTGATCATTCTAACTTCAGACATGACTGGATCCAGAAAGTTCTAGAACATGGGCAGATGTGTTGTCTACCTGGGCTCTGCTCTCCACTATGTTGCCTTCATTCTCCCATTAGGACAATAGCTATGGAAGCTTCAAGTCTTTATGTGTTGGTTCCTAATCCAAAATGAAGAAAGACTTTCTCCCAGAAAACAAATATCAACCCTCAAAGAAAACAAATTGGCCTGGACACATGCTCATCCCTGAACCTCTGAATGGCTGGGGCTGGGGCGAGTCTCTGGTTGGCTGGGCCTAAATCAGATGTCCACTCTGGGGAGGGTATCAGAGGAAGAACCAAATCAGTCTCTCCTGGAATGGGTTTTCCATAGGAAAGATGGAAGGAGGTTGGAAGGACTGGGCAGAACAGCTGGCTTTTCCATATTCCCTTTGTAAGGGGACAGATAGATGAGAATGGGGGTCAACAGGTCCAAACTCTATCCACCAGCTCCAAGCCTGAGTGACAATTTTCAGCCAGAGGTAGACAATGACCATAGGGTAATGAGAGCAGGTGCTGGGTCAGGGGAAGGCAAGGATCATTGCTGACCATGACCCATAGCAGAGTAAGGGGAGTCAGACTCAGCCTCCAGCAGGGCTTGAGAGTGCCAAAGCCACTGGGCACCATTTTGAACCCATCCTGGCGCTCTCCCCATATTTCCTTATTGTGGAGGTACAGGGCACTGGGACCAGAGGGACCTAGCTCCAATACCCACTAGGACGGGCCTTTAGCCAGCTGGAAGAAAATGGCCAAACTCCACACTAAGAATACTTTGTGACT